ACCGGTAACGGATACACGCGGATATGTACGCGCACACACACACTAAGAACTGAATAAAAACACGACATTTTACAAAAGCACTTATGTGCCAGCCAAAACGTCAATCAACAAACCAGGCTCTTCTATTAACTGACGTATGACTATAAAACCGTTTGGCAAAATTAAAATTTTAAACGGCTGCACATGCAATTAACGATTCTTTTTACGCCTTAAACGCAAACGCTCAGAGTGTACAGGCACTAACCGATGAGTGCTCAACCAAAACAATGCAAGCGAACAAAAGCTGCAAAAATGTGATTTACAAAGGGCCAAAATAATAGCTAAAATTTCCCCGTAGGGTAACGGGTAATAAAAGGATCGTTCATGTAAAGTGAAATTTCCTAATTTTTTTCGATTTTTTTTTTTTTTTTTTGGTTCAACATTATTAAACACCAATGAACAAGTGTCCCATGAAGGAATTATAAATTGCAAAAAGCATTTTTGCAATAGTAGCAACAGCGGTGCCTGGCAAATGGTAAATGCTAATCTAAAATATATTGACAACTCATGGGGTACATGTGTACAGAAAATGACTACGTGTTCATAGCGACTTACTTGTTATTTTTGCTTCTTTTTTTTTTTTTTTTTTGTGAAAGAGAAATCCGCAATCAATGAACCATTCAATGTAGTCCTCATGAAGCATGCAATACATTAGTGAATAATTGAATGAGTTCAATGCAGAGACTTTATGCTGAATGATTGTAAATGAGTTTTGAATTTTTTGAAAGCATTATTAAATGTACTGTAAAATTTAAAGAAAAAAAATATGAAAGATTAAAAGAAATTCGAAATAATAAATTGTTATTCAATATCTTTGTATTACATTTCTAAGCTTTGATGCCAATCTCTCCGGGATTATAAATCTTAATATTACGTTCATTCACTTTATATAAGACTTCTTTAGTGGTAACATTCCAATCGCAATTATCATCATTTTCATCTTGACAACGTTTAATTAGCAATTTGCCGTCGACCTCATGGAATAGACCACTTTTTAAATTTAATACATTCACATGAACCAAACTGCATTTGCTTATGTTGCTATCCTCGACGCAAAAGATATCGCTGTTACTCATTTTAGTAATAAGGCTTAAGTTGTCCATCTGCTTAGTTAAATGCATGAGATCATTAAAGAACATCTGCACGTCCTCCTTGCTTGCACCCAAATTATATAATATGGCTAAATTATCGATAATAATGGTGTTATGAGTGCGAACGGAAAAATTTGTGCCCATAATTTGTTTTTTAATCTCCTGCAAGAGGACATCAGCAATATTGGTGTCACCGCTAATTAACCAATTGCTGACCGGAAAATCTCTTGCTATGTCGGTAAGCGGATCGAGGACACTTAATGTTTTACCAACGAACACATTGCAATCGTAACCTAAACGCATCCCAGCCTTGGTGTAATGTTGATAACCGTGCTGCAAGCAAACCAAAAGTGTACCGACATTTGAAATGCGTAAACGCTGGCAAAGTATTGATGAAATCAAAAAACTGCCATCAACATTGGACTCTTCACTGACGTGTACAAGAGTTGGTAACTTAGTTCCATTTAAGCCACAAGCGAATAAAACTGAAGCAGCCATTATTGTTGCACTTGACAGGAGTATCTGAAAAGAGGAAAAGCAAAAGTATGGCAGATTTTAATAAATACCAAGTGTAGATAGTAACAAAGAATGTAAAGATAAGAAAGGGAAAACAAAATTCCAAAGACAACAAAGAAACAACAATTAAATTAAATGCACAAAAATCAATGTACGACATGCATATTTACATTGAAAATTCATACATAAATCAAAAGATTCGCTTTTCTTTACTGCCTTTTGACCACTCACAACGGTACGGTACGGTTCGTATTGACTGGACTTGCGTACCACTTGAGCAATTATTTTCATTTCCTTTTACAATTTTCATTTTAATAAAAATTAAAAAACTCATTTATATTAGGACAACATCTGCACAAGAAACATTTTCATGTATATACACATACATATATCCGTTTATATGTACAATTCGCAGTCTCTACTATTAAAAACCTTCAGCCAAGACAGCAATACGAGTAAGTGGCGTAAATAACAAATGTGAAGCTACTCTTATTTCTCCCATGACATCTGTGTTCGTGCACTTGATTTGCATTCTAAATCATTTCTTGTAGCATTATCCTAGATTTAATTGTGTTATATACAACAAAAATTAAACAAGAGCATAGAATTTTCAGGACCTTCTCATGACAGCAAATTATTTCTCAATAATATCATATATCATATATGTATAAATTTTAAATAAAAAAAAAAAAAAAAAACAATTCTAATCAGTAACCACAAACAAAACTCGCAATCAGGAATTGAACCCGCTCGCGTAATGATCTAAGAGATGATCTAAACTCGGGATTGATCCTTTTCATTCGAAATGGATATATGACATCGGCTTCACGAAAACTAAGTCGTGCAGAAAAGAAAATAGCTACTTAAGGGCCTTTTCATATAAATAAAAGTCGGTGTGAGTGGCTTAATTTTTTCCACTTGTATATAGGTACGTCGTAGAATTACCCAAACAATCTACTGGAAAATTTACTTGATCGCTGTGTCTGCTGTAGCTGGCAAGCAGCGAGCAATAAACCCAGAAAATAGAGATGTTCTCTAGCTACGGTCTTTAGTCGCTTAAACCCCTAAAGACGGACATAGAGATAGACAGATGAAAAAATGACTTTGATACTGATCAAGCATTTAAATTTATTTGAAAGAAGTTCTCAAGGTTCCTTCCAGGTGTTCCAACTTTTCAAACTAAACAGAAAAACTTATAAGAAGTTCGTTTTGTATTGTCCTTCTTCAAATCGAAGGCAAGGCCGACCCTTAAATCCTCTACACCACTTCGCCAAAAACCATTTTTCACTACTCATAGTCATTGTTACGTGAGAGCCTACCTTTCTCAAGAAGCTTACATGAACCGACATTGCTCAAATTTAAAAATATTGTCAAAGAGCTTATTATTCTTAATTTTTTTCGCCATAAGATATTGAAAACTAGGTCTGGTTGCGAAGCAAAAGCTCTTGCAAGAATCCTTATATTTTCTTCGCCAAATATTAAAAATGCAAAAATTTGTTCATTGATTTCTTCAAAATAGGGCTTCACATAATATGTGGTCCTTGAATGGTCCTATCCAAATCATCTTCAATAGCGTCTCTCATCTAAGGCAAAGGATATGCGAACTGTATGCGAATTTCATCAAATTGTCTTCAAAATTCCAAGCTTTAATTTGAATGCAAATGCATAGCTGGACAGAGAAGAACGTTTAAATCAATTCAAAAAATGATTCAAAATCATTGGCTATAAGAAAGAGGTCGGCTTGGTTCAAGTCGTCCTACTTATTGCATATACCGGTACAAATTTAATATACCCTATACCGTGAGTAGCGCAAGGACGAGAAAATGAGCAAATTGCGAAGGAAACCATCAATTCCTCAGCTAATCAACCTCAAGTGAATCTCTAATGACTAGGTTTCGTTGTAACGAATGAAATCAACAAATCAATGCGCACCTGTTCTCTACACTCGAGTATGCGAAAATAATGAATATGAACAAAATTAGAAGCCGTAATTAAATTCACTTACTTTACTATTCACAACATTATTGGTTATAATAAATTTCAATTTTTTTTGTTCCTTTTTTTTTTTTTTTTAATATACAAAACCACAATTACAACACAAGCGCTGGTCAGTTACAGGTCGACATGTGTGCGTTTCAAATCGATTTGTAAATACGTTTCTAATTTACAATCGAAGGCATATCGATGCGCATAATATAAGTTCAAACAAAAAACAATTTTATAAAATTATTTTAAATTGAAAAAACTGAAAAATTATGCACTTTCTAAGCCACAAGCCTACCTGTGTAGTAGTTATAATTGGACCGTTTTAACTGATTAAATGTTATGTTAAATGAAATGCAATTCAATTTCCATAAAACGGCTACACATCTGCATTAGAAATTTGATTTTGAAATTACAAAAAAAAAGGAAAGCAAAGCAAAAAAAAAAAGTGCTTCGTTTTAAAGAAAAGGCGGCCACAATACACCGGACACTCGGTTTACGTTCGACCCGACAAAAGAACTGAGTTCTTTTATATGTACTTTTTTGCAAATACGCGGTTATTTCTTTCATCATAAAAAAGGAGCGCAAACTTGAGGAGCTGAGAAGCTGGGAAAAGAATTACGACATAACCTCAAAAAAGTCTAACAGAAACGAATTGTTCTTAAATAAAAGAAAAACCTTAAAACAAGTCCTATTTGCTATTGTCACTTAGCGTGATTTATAAAAAAAAAAAAAAAAAATTGAAAAAAATATAAAAAAAATTCAATCTTGAAAAGATAGGACGTAAATCGAGATTTTAGTGTATGCGACAAGATTAAAGCTCTCTCTCTTAAGATTTGTTTATTTCTACTATAGTTTTCAGGTGTAAACATAATTCCATCCCGAGAGACTTTAAGCTAAACAAGAAACTGCTTTAGATTTTCTATTGTTGACGTATTTTGATTAAAAATTTTAATGATCTTTTCATAAACATTTTATTCATCGACTCTTCTCTATCTCTTTGTCTCTCTGTCTCTCTCTCCCTTCTTTTGCGATATCCCTTTCTCTTCTATTTCTCCATGACTACGGCATTTAATTAATGTTGAAAAATAATTTCACTTGAGCGGTAAATGAATAAAAAAAGCTAAATATATGTATATACGCTGACTAATAATAAAAACTGAAAAGCGCTAACACAACTAGAATTCAAACATGCACGAAAATTCATAGTGCAGAATTGCGTTAATGCTTCGAAACTTGTATTAGTCGATAATAATTAGTCGTTTCGTATAAAACGTTTTGTTCTGTGAAAAAATTTGCACAATTATTTAACGGTTTAAAAATTTAACGCAAAAAAAATAAATAAATAAAGAAAAAATTTAAAAAAAAAATACATATATATTTATAAAAAAGCACAAAAGTGATTCAATCACAATTGCAAGATTTATGTTATAAGCCGTTCACAAGTTTTATTCTAAAAGTAAGGAACACACAAACAACAACATCTTATCTCTATAGATAAACTGAATGAAGTAAATAAAATATTTATGATTTCTTTTTTTAATACCTTATAGTTAGTTGCTTTAAATTGTTTCTGTAATTAAAAGTTTTTCGTTTTTCGTTTTTTTTTTTTTTTTTTTGATAAAAATGAAAAGTAAATATTTAAAAATATAGCACGATTTCGCCTTAATTGTCAGAATAAGAATTTTTTGCTTACAAGCATTTAATGAACTTTAGAGCGGATCTTCAATATCCACCATATCGGATCGTAATGAATTTTTCACAACAACGAACAGTGTATGGCATGATTACCAATATATTTACGACTGAAAAAAAAAGTTATCTAACATTTTGCTTATATTCCAAGGGATGATTGATTAAACTCTGGTAAATAAACACCTAACGACAACAATGTGTTTGAAACGTTGAGGTAATAAAATTTTAAAATTTTTGCCTCTTCTTCTCTCTGAAATAATTCTCGATCTAGCGACTAATCAATTCATGAAACTCAATTAAAAAACTGTCTCGGAGGAGCTTGAGCTCTTTACTTTCGTTTGCATAATTTTGCGGATTACACATAACAAATGAAAATGTTATAATCGGGCAAGGCCGGCTACTCACTTCTCTAAATAGAATACTTTGTCACACATTCACCACACGTACGCTCTGATTGTAAGATGAAAACTTTGAACCTTTTGTGCTACGCGAAGAGGATCATAGGGATCTAAGATTCGCCTTAAGATAAACGCAATTTTTCTGTTTACAATTTTTTTTTAACTAACTATTGTCAATTCCAACGCCCATAGATGTATGCTTGAACAACTTAAAGTTCAGAGGCAATCAAACGCTGTCCGTATGTCCGTCCCTCTAATTGACATCTGCTGTTGGAACAGCCAGCAAAATTGTGTTTAAGAGGCAGCCTGACAGCCAGAGGAAATAAGTGCAATAAGACGCTTATCCTTTACCTTTCTAATTCCCTATGAAAAGTAATCTTTAGTCTGTTCCAAATAAACAAACAAATCAAGTATGTCGTCATTCATTCTCAACGAGTACATCACGCGGTTGGCATTACCGGTATGTTTACTTTAGGTATGAATACACATATGATTTCAATTAACAAATCATTCGATTTACAAACACAGACAGTCAGTATTAATTTTACTGACAAATTATACATTTATGCAAAACGAACGTTATGCAAGCAAGCTTTGTGCGCTTTGATACGTATCTTGGATACTCATCACTCAGGTTTGATGTACAAAAAAAAACTCGAGGGAATGACGAGACAATCAATCAATGAATTAAAACAACATTTTACCCCAAGTAAAAACGGGCTTGATATAAATTCAAATTTTGCAATTTTTTAGAACTTTAAGAATTACAAGTAAATCTTCGTCAATTGCTTAGAAAGACGCGTTGATCAAAAATCATTTTGTGGGTTCTCCGATGCCTGTCAGTTTATCTTATAATCAGAATGACAAAATATGACAAAGAATTGCGAAATATATAAATCCATTCGTTGCAAAAGCGACTTCGGCCTATAATTCTTTTTTTACGAATGTGCTTAAATAGATTCAACTTCTCAGACAAGGCATAGCTTCATCACTTATTTCAATCCGATCTCTGTTCGACTAATCCCCTTGACGCAAACAATTCGACAAGCGGAACAGATGGGAGAGGTGTATAGCGTTTTTCAGGAATAAAGAAAGCTGCACACGTCCACCTTGAGCGTACAATGTTAAGCTTAGCAATGACTATTGTCACTATTTTTCATATAATTGTTTTATATTTGACTCAATCTCACTCAGCCAGTATAGGCACATAATTTATCAAGAAAGACTTCAGTTATAGGTGGACATATTTGTGAACTTGAAACTGAAAACATCGGGAAAGATCGTTATATGCAGGCTGCAGCATGTAGTCCAAACACAGAAGTATATGTATCTCTAATAACCTACTTATCCGACTATCTATTACACATCAAAATCTGTCAGTTTTTTATAAATCAAAAGTTTTTATACTTATGAATAGTGAAGAACTTCGCTACGCGCTCCTTACGAGATTTCTGTTGCGCTGCCCGATTTTCTAATAAATACTCAATTTAATATTAAGTTTAATAAATATTTTTATACTTTAATCGACCAAATAGTCACATTACTACACAAAGCTTTTTTTTTGTATTCTTCCCAATTAATTTTTTTTTGTTTTTTTTTTTTTTTTTTTTTTGCTAAACTAAAGCAAGATCCGTTAACGGTATCCATCATATATATAATTTTTATTACTTTTTTTTTATAGAGTTTATGGAATTTTTTAATATGATAACATTTCACAGATTTTCGTCTGTTTAACGGAATTGTTGTTGCGCTTTTCCTTTTCCGTAGCGACTATAACGTCAGTGTTAATCAAAATTCTGAGATCTTCATAGCTATTGCGATTAACGTATATGGGTATACGACCATATTCATAATTAATACTTTGCTTAGAGGCTTTAATCGACCGCAGTGACAGTTGATCAATAGCCAGGGATACTACCATATTATCGCCTTGTCTATTGTAGAACAATAGAATCCAATGGGACATAGGCAAGTTACTATTTTGAGCATTAACAAGATCTAGAACACTGCTCGGCGATTTATTACCACATTTTGGCAGAAACATGGTAATTACCGGTGTCTTCGGTACAGCTTGCCCGGTACAAATGGCCAATTCCGGCCCCTGCCAATCGCTTAATCGCGGCACAATGTATTGCAACCATTCAACACATGCGGAATTATTGCAGTCTACTGCTAACCAACCCGGTCTAAACTGGATGCCTTCCAATTGCATCTTTTCATCGCAGCCTTTATGCATTTCTTGTACGATCGCATTTTGCAAGCATTCTAATTCCTTATTGGTTAGCAACTTTTTAGGATACGGTTTGGCTAATATCGCCACATGAAAACCTGTTGAATTAACAGTTTCCTTTTCCGGTTTATATTTATCAGCAGATGCCCGTTCAATTTCTCTTGAGATTGGTTTAGAAGATGCCGGCCCTCTACGTCGTTCAAGAGCCATTTTTCGGGCTATATTAGGTCTGTATCCTTTGCGTAGAAATCGAATATACCATTTCTGACTTGCTCCACTTAGCCCGAATCTAAGTGGATCACCAGGAGCACCTGTAGCCTCGTTTGGTTTCCGATTACCGGTGCTTACAGGCAATTTTGATGATTTTTTAATCGGATTCCTTACGAGATTCTGTTTGCTTTGTCTGTCCTTGCTAGATGAGCTCTCCATATCCATAGCCAATATCGTTGAGATGATTGAAAGTAGTACTTGTACTGTGTTTCGATCGAAAAAGAAAAATTCAAAAGAAACAAATTTGTACATAATTTCCATTCATCGCAAAAACAACACATTTGCATCACACTTGACATTGACCTGATCGTTCAGATAAACGGAGTATATAAGAACGACAAAAACCTTAGCAACCTATAAATAAAGCACACTTTTCCCTCAATACTCATTATGTTTATAAGATCCACACGAAAGAGTGTTTAAATTGTGATAAAGCAGCAGGAGTAAGAAATTTTTTGCTAATTAGTTTTAAAAAAATTGCTTTTAAACGTTACTTGTGTCTGTTGCTAATTCATAACTCATTAATTATAAAAAATATATATGCATTAAATATTTGTGTTGACATGTTAACAATATCGGATTATGAAACCAATAATAATCACTATATACATATTCATTATATGTGCGTATTCGCCTCCTATACTCTCTTGCAGTCATTATTAGTTCAATAATTAGTTCATTATGCGCTAAATGAATCTACTTTTAAAAGGAGAACAAAGGCTACTTATCTTAGACAAGTTTTTGGAGCCCAATGGTTTTAAATCCGCCAACTCCTTTCAATGTAAGCGTTTTCATTGAATGATCACGACAACTTTTTCTCTTGCAAAACTTTAGTGAGTATTTGAAACAATACTAATTGACTATAAGCTTCAGAACTTTAACGAATGAATGATCATTGCCCGCGTGTCTGAAGACGCGCTGTACGTATTTTCGAGCTTCGCTCGCATAATACGCTACTAATGGAGTTCCAACACCCATCAACTCTCCAAGGGGATCATAGACCGTCATCAATTGATTTAATATTCCAAGTTGATTAATTATTTAAATTTCAGATCCACATTCAAATTTTAATGAAAACTTCGCTTCATATCCTAACCTAGATGCCGGTTTTCTGGCATTAAATGGCTGTAGATTTTAAACGTATTGACTATTTGATTATTTCGGAACACTCACAGAAGTGCGGATAATTTACCCAGTATACACACAGACTTAACATTTTCTTTCGTCTCTGACACATAACAATAACATTAGTACATTGCTGATCTTCAGCTGTGGTTAGAAGGCTGCATTCACATTGTGGAGAACTTTTGTTACTAAGTTAACTAAGTAAATTCATTTCAGTGGAATAATTGGAACGAGATCTATTTAATATTTATCTAACAAGTATTTTTAGCGAATTGTTTCATTAAAGGCAAATTTATTAGTCTACCGCCCGCCAATTTGTTGGATCAAATTGCGCGTATATATAAAACCCTCTAGGTTTCTTTCGATGTTCACATCGAATTTTTAAGAATTTTTAGAAAATATACATTAATTTGTTTTTTTAAGTTCAGGCTGCTACAGTGCTCCATTAAAGCCACTGAATATTGACATTATGACCCGCCTTAACTCGGACCAGATACTACAAATAACTATATTACCGTTAACTGCTAATATTACTGATGGAGACAAAGAAACATCAGGAGATCGGTAGATGGTATCAAATTTTAGATATTTCATAGTCTTCTTTGATATGTTTAGCAAGCGATTCCTTGACATGGCGCTGCAGCGTCTATGCCGGATTATTAAATTCTTTAAGCATTCGAGGACGAAATTTTTTTTTCATCTTTGTTATTTCTAGTTAATAGCTTTTTTAAATTAATACTTACATTAATTTCTAATTTCTATTATTTGGAAATTTGTAGCAAATGCACATTGATTACAATTACGGAAAAAAAGAACTCTTTCTAAAATCTAAAATTGCACCGAAAAATACTTCTACTTTTGCCTTTCCTTCAACACAGCTGATAAACGCGGCAAAACAACAACTGAATAGTGTTGAAAAGTGTTAACATTTTTTTAATAAATTTGTTTACAATAATTGGTCGGAATTGGCAACGCTACTTTATTCTCTTCTGCTAAGGTCACGAAAATAATATTAAATTTTTCAAGAAATTTTTTTTTTTTTTTTTTGTAATAATGAATTCTCTGAGTGGGACTAAAATTAAAAAAAATTAAATAACTGTCAAAGTTTAAAACGAATATTGTCAAAAAAAAAAAAGATGCATTCCATAATGTTAAGCGAAATTAATAAAAGTTCCTAAACTAGTTTTTTTCTCAAAATTGCTTAGTAAGTTAAAAAATAACCTTTATATAGTTCTTTTTCATGTTCATATTCATGACAATTAAATGAAAATCTCTACCTGTTGGTGCGCTTGTGATTTTCAAGGCCAAGGATATTTATGTTTACATTCGTGGCTAATATTTCGTCATTGATAAGCAACTACACTCACGCTCGCATCGCATGACGTATAGAATGCACGAATTAACGTGTCCAATTCACATACATGTGTTTCTTTCTCTTTTCAGTTAAACAAAAATGGCCCTTGTTGCAGATAAAACGAAACGTGAAGGACGTTGGTATTTTGGTGGTTTGGCCAGCGCTGGCGCTGCTTGTTGTACTCATCCATTAGATTTGATTAAAGTAACGCTTCAAACCCAACAAGGCAAACTGTCCGCCGTGCAAATTACCATTAAAATTCTACGTGAACAAGGTATAAAATTTTTTGAAGCTTCAATTTTTATAATTTTTAACAATTTAAGCTAATTTAAAAATTTTTTTTTTTTTATTTTAAAATTTAAAAAAAGGTATCTTTGCTTTATATAACGGTCTCTCGGCTTCAATATTGCGTCAACTAACCTATTCGTTAACACGTTTCGGCATTTACGAAAGCGGGAAATCCCTCGTACCCACCGATACATTTGCTGGTAAAGTTATATTGGCCGCTTTGTCAGGCACAGCAGGCGGCATTGTCGGGACACCTGCCGACATGGTCAATGTGCGTATGCAGAATGATGTCAAACTACCGCCCGAGCAGAGAAGAAAGTAAATATAAATTAACTAATTTTTAAAATAATACGGATAATATAAATAATTAGATCATTAACACTTTACCTCGTAACATCATTTTTTCCATATAAGCTATAAAAATGCTGTGGATGGTCTGATAAAAGTGTACAGAAATGAAGGTTTCGTTCGATTATTCTCAGGAGCGACAACTGCTACTTCCAGAGGTGTTTTAATGACTGTCGGGCAAATTGCATTTTACGATCAGGTAAAAATGAAAATTTATTTAACAAATTTAATTGTTTAACGTTGACATAATATAAGGAATTTTTTACATCAATTGGTCTATTCTTGCATTTTATTTTATTTCCAAGATCAAAAGCATGCTATTAAAAACTGCTTATTTCGAAGATGACACATTCACGCACTTTACAGCCTCTTTAGCTGCTGGTGCAATTGCTACAACACTCACCCAACCATTGGATGTGTTAAAAACACGCTCCATGAATGCCAAACCAGGCGAATTCGAGGGCCTATGGCATATCGTCAAATATACAGCCCGCCTGGGACCTTTAGGTTTCTTTAAGGGTTACGTACCCGCATTTGTACGTTTAGGTCCTCATACTGTAATCACTTTCATGTTATTGGAGCAATTGCGTCTAAATTTTGGTAAAACTCCCGCTAGTTAAAGCGAACTAACTTATATGCCTTGGAGCAATTTCCCTTACACTTTCCGAATCCTTAAAGCATTTGCCAACATATAAATTAAGTATAGCAGAAAAAAAAAACAACACTCAGTAGAAAAATTAACATTCCTAAACAAACAAGTTAAGTTGTACTTATAGCGAATAAGAAAAAACAAAAAAGTACTAAAGCGTAACAAACTTGTCCATGTAACTAAACTGAAGCGCAAACCGTTCTGAGCACAATTAAATTGAATAGAGAAGGTTTTTAAGGTCTTTTGACTTTTTTTTTTTTAAGTTTTTCATGTTAATTTTATATATGCTTTTTGCTTTTGTTATTAATTTTTATTAATATTTGTAAATAAAAATAATTATATACATGTGTGTGTAATAGACTGCTCAAATGCTGCTTAATATTATAATAAAAATTATAAATGAGAAATATGAAATAAGTTTTTGGTTTCTATAGAGATATTTCATGGAAATGATATTAAATTGATTGAAAATTAATCGCATGAAGGTAAACTCGTCGATTTAAAGTCGATTCGTAATCGAGTAAGTACAAATTGAATGCATGGTGCTTAGGTCAAAAAGTACGATAGCATAACGAGTGGTGTTCGGTATGTTGTCATATTGCTCCTCCTTAGATGTGCAGAATCGTTTATCTCCGTCCAGAACAAGCGACACAACGTGTTATACAAATAACTGGGAAAGTTATTTATAGAGAAGGAAATTGAAATTTACAGTAATTCAAAACCTTCAAGAGGTTATCTATCATCCACGGTTAGGCGTTACGCTAAGAAAGACAAAAAAAGTAAAAGTTCGTGCTCTATGAAATGGAATGGGCGTGGATGATTTTTTCAAAAAAAAATTTTTTCTACCACTGATAACCATTTAAAAGCATTGTTGAAAATCGGCTACGCCCGAATGTAAATATTTCTCTGTCCCTTTTAAACGTTTTTATATGAAATGTCTATTGGGATTATCGACATATTTTGAAATAAATTTATATAAAATTAAAATTTCTTAAAAAAATGTTTCTTATGAAAATTGTCCGCAGACACAAATTTACGAATCTGCGCATTTAGCATTTCGAGATCAAAATCGTTTGCATAGGTGTACAAACTCTTTCAATAATGTCGCGGCAGTCCCGCGTCCTGCAAAGCTAAGCTAAGTTTTATAATAAAAAGAAAGAAAAATTATATTTTTGGCTTGTAAACACTTCCTGTTAGTTAAAAACAAAAAACAAAAAAAAAATGTCATTCGTACCAAACCAAGAGAACCGTCGACCACGTTGGTATTTTGGTGGTGTCGCTGCTGTTATTGCGGGGGCAGCAACCTTTCCATTGGATACGATTAAGGTGGTCCTTCAAACTCGTCCGGGTAATTTGCCTGCAACTCGAGTAATCTCAAAACTTATACGTGAAAATGGCATATTGAGCTTATACAGAGGTTTGACTGGATCCTTGTTGCGGAATATGTCCAATGCAGGAATACGATATTGTGTCTACGAAACCTGTGACTCGCACATATGCACTCGCACCACGTCGGAGAAAGTCATGTTGACTGGTGTGGCCGCCACAATAGGTGGTTTGGTGGGCAGTCCTGCTGATATGGTCTGCGTGCATATGCAAAACGATCTCAATTTGCCCTACCACGAAAGAAGAAAGTAAGAGGGAATAAAAAGGGGGGAAAAAAAATTACGAAAATTTTTTTTTACGTAGCTATAAAAATGCCGTCGAAGGTCTTCGCCATGTGGTTCAGCGGGGAGGCTTTAAAAAATTATTCCGTGGCGTTGGACTTTCAACTTGCAGGTCTGTTTTAATGACTGTTGGTCAACTTGCATTCCTCGATCAAATGGAAGATGTAAGCTTGCTTTGGTTTTTTTTTTTTTTTTGTTTCATTATATATATATTTTGATTTATTTTTCTTTCAAGATTAAACAAATTCTTCTCCGAATTGGAATTCACAACAATGAGTATTTTACACGATATTTGTCTTCTTTGATCGTTTCTAGTATTACAACATCAGTTTATCAGCCCATCGATGTCTTAAAAGCGCGCTCCATGGCTGCCAAACAGGGAGCATATAAGAATATGATAGACGTTTACGAATCCACGGTCAGTCAGGGAAAAAGGGTTTTTTGGAGAGGCTACATACCGGCGTCACTACGATTAGGTCCACAAATTCTTATCAACTTTATGATTGTAGACAAATTGTTAGAACATTACGGTAAATTACCCAATGAGAGCAATGGCGTCAACCAAACGAATTCTTAGAAAAATGTTAACCAATCCTTACCCTTTGAAATTATTTTGTTTTTCTTTTAAGTTATTCTTCATATTTATTGCGCCAATGGGCGTGGTATAAATTGCTCAAATGCCTAGTAATAAATATCGTAGAATATTTGAAGTGAAATTTCTAAATAAAGTAAAAAGTAGTAGAAGTAGGAAGGAGAGCGCAAAGAAGGGGAGATAATTCTCCTAACTTGTATCCCCCACTGTTGGCATAGCAGGGCTTTAGGAAAAATGAATACTGCACCACTTATGTATGGACAATTTTTCATTTGTCTACACATGAAAATCTTAAAAGTTATACCTTATTGCCATATAAGGACTCTTCCCGTTCAATGGGAAATCTTATATGAGAAGGGACCCAATAGTATGCAATATATTGTACGATCATGTGGTAGGTCGAAATGCTTCTTTGACGACACCGTATCAGTGTGCGAAATATCACCAAAAATATCTGGAAAATTGGTGATCTGATCATTTCGTTAGACATGCAGAGACGTAGGAATATTTAAATCAATTTTAAAACTGATTCTGAATAGATCCGCAAAATACAAAATTAAATTTAATTTATTAAAGTCATTCTGGTATAAAGTTGATATACACACATACACACGGCTTTGCGGTAAAGTAAAAATACCTCTCTCGCTAAAGTCCGGATTTGTATCCTACACCAATTATGGTAGACTGTATAGTTTCCATTTGTGCACGGACGGGCTGAGCGCAAACTCTCTTTTTATTATATCGATCGATTCAGAATCATTTTTTAAACCGATTTAACTTTGTCCGTCCCTCGGTCTGTTCAAAGTGTGTAAATTAATCTTCGTATTTAATCTGCAGGTGGCATTTTTTGAGATATTTGGCAGAGGTTACTAACGCCTTATATGGCAAAAGTGTGCGTATAAGTAATTTGATATGTAGAATTTGGACCAAGTGGAAGTCAGATTATATAATAAGAGCTCTCATGAATGGTAAGCTTTAAGTGAACATAAACTATAACTCTTAGTACAATATAGCAAAAGTGGATGAAGAACAATAAGATTTTCGATAAAAATATGTAAATTTGTTGAATTTCGACCAAGTCAATTCATAATTTGGATCCATTTCTATTCTATTTTATTTTTCTTAAAAAAAATATACGCGAAGTGGTGTAGTTTCTTTGGTAATCGTCCGTGCCCGCCGATAAATTTTCTTTTCAATCATATTTTACAAAACAGTAAAATGTAAACGAAGAAAATTGACGGTTACTACTCATTTAATACCTCCGATAAAGCTCGATAGAGAACTTAATACAATCGTGAAAAAGTTTTGAAATACATTACCGTTCTTATCAACATAATTCATAATAATCGTTTTGTCGCAGTTGTCAGTAAAATTTGGAAAAATTCAAAACAAGAAGAAGTTTGATTCTAAAATTATTTGAGTTTAAAAGAGCAAATTAAGAAAATATTCTTGGATATATTGAGACGGAATTTCGAAAATGTTTCAAATCAACAAAACTAGTAAAGCGAAAAGTTGTTCTTAATATATTTTGGTAAAAAAAAAGAAAAGAAAAACCTATTAAATCGAAAATTATTACGAGATAACAACTTCGTTCAAAATTTCATTTAGATGTAAACGTAAGAAGAAGCTTTGCCTGTTAATGCTTCTCGCATATGAAGATTACAGTTTTTCGTTACGGACGGATGTTTCAATCAAATCCTCTATCATACGCCAACACATAGTTTCAGTTTTAATACTCTATATACTCTATATAATTTTGCTCACTTTGTGTGTAAACTCGTTGAATTGCATATATACATGTCCGCCACTCAAGATAAGGGCAAGCGTCAAGTACGCTGGTACTTTGGCGGTATTGCAGCAGCAGGAGCGGCTTGCTGCACGCATCCACTGGATACAATTAAGGTTGCTCTTCAAACTCAATTGGGTCAATTGACTGCAACCGAAATTACTATTAAAATTGTACGCGAGCACGGTATCATCGGTTTATACAGAGGGCTTTCCGCGTCCGTATTACGAAATCTAACTTATTCGATAACACGTTTCGGCCTCTACGAAACTGGTAAAACTTATGTGCCAACCGATACTTTATTAGCCAGAGTTCTGTTGGCCGGTTTCTCGGGTACAATTGGTGGTTTTTTAGGTATCCCAGCAGATATGGTTAATGTGCGCATGCAAGCCGATCTTGCTTTTCCGCCCGAACAAAGAAGAAAGTAAGTGGAGTTGAAAGAAGCAAGAAAAGAAAGTTATGTTCTAAACTGTTCCTTTACTTTAGGTATAAACATGGTTTGGACGGGATAAGAAGAGTGTTTAAAGAAGAAGGCTTCACTAAATTATTTGCGGGAGGTACAACTGCGACTTCAAGAAGTATCTTAATGACTATTACTCAAACTGCATTTTACGACCACGTTAATCAGGTAAAAAAATATTATTTTATAAAATGAATTCCATTGTAGAACGCGAAAAACAACTCTGTACCAATATTTTGCAAATCGCGTTGATCCTTGGATCATGGATAAACTGATTAAAAATGTTGGAATTTTTTTTTTTTTTTTATATTTCCAAGATTAAAATCATGTTGACAAAGACTCCATATTTCGAAGATAATTGGTTTACCCACTGCACGGCCGTTATGGTTGCCTCTGCTATTTCTACAAGTATCTTTCAACCGGTGGATATCATAAAAACTCGCTCCCAAAGTTCTAGGCCTATGGAACACAAGAGCTTAGGAGAAATTATCAGATATACGGGCTGTAAAGGTCCTTCAGGCTTCTATAAAGGCTATTTACCCTCCTTTTTGCGTTTAGGTCCACAAACCCTCATCACCTTTATGATAGTAGAAAAATTGCGAGAAAACTTTGGTCGCTTGCCGGACGAAGTCAATTAATAATAATTTAAAGCCCTTGCGTTTATTTTATTTAATATTAATGTTTTTGTCCGAGCCGATCTGTAAATTTATAAATGTAATGTTTTTAATCTAAATAAACGAAACGATCTCGATACCAGAGTATTACCAGAAAATTTCATTTTTTGAAAGAGTCAATAAAGAACAATCTGAACGACGGTAAATATGTCTGGTTTGAAAGAAATGCGTTTCATTTGGCATTTGGATTTGGACAAACCGAACGACAATGTGAAAACATCTCGATATATGAGTGTGAATGTGATATCTGTAAGGAATACTTTGATATTCTGTCATATTTACCTTTTTTATCCACATATTTCGAACACATATTCACCACTGTCTACATCGACTTACGGGGTTTGAACTATTTGTCGCAATATTTTAGATATTTCGAAGAAATTGAAATTTGTTGCGCGGACAGGCGTTAGCCCTAACCATGTCTGTCTCGCTGTCTCTTTGATATCTGCCCAAGCAAAAAGTCGGCGTTTCATGGGCAGGACCGTATTGTCGAAGCTACCGCTCGCGAAGGTTCATTAGCCTTTCTCAAGAGCTATACACCTTCATTTCTCCGTTTGGATCCGCACACTATTATTACTCTTATGACCCCAGAAGAATTGCGAAAAAATTTCGATAGCTTGTCTGACGACGTCAACTAAATGCTTTGGAAGCTTAAAGCCATTGGGAATAAAATCAAAGAGAATCGAATATAATAGGGAAGTCACTGGTTACTTTTACTCGTTAGGGAAAAAAATTATAAAAAAGGCGGCCAGGAATAGTTACTAAGGGAATTTTTCTTCAGACTTTATTCTTGCTTGCTGCGAACCGAAGGGGTATCAGAATCCAATCTTACCTTTGAATTGCTGTCTTTTAAGAGCTATTAGAATCAGACCTTATATATAATGTGGCAAATGTTTATTATTCATGTTTTTTACTTGATATATTGTGGTCTTACTCTTACTAGAAATTTTTGTAAGACTTGTAAATATGTTTGTTTATACAGCAATATATTTAAAAGTAAAGAATTAATTAAATATATTTTTCTAATAAAAGTACCGGGAATCTTCATCAAAAAATTATACATTTTAAATCAATATACATATGTATTCAAAATGCATTTGTAGTTGTATACACCCGCTGAAATATTCTATAGCATTACTAAGCTGGTTACGGAGACACTTTTTCTAGATTCTTCTATGTTTTGAATTCATGTCCATGCTCGAATTTTCTTCCACAGCACGAATCGATTACTTCGAATACGAGAAAAGATGAACGTCGTACGGAGAATTATTTGTTAAATACCTTGCTCGAGTGGCGGCAAAATCAATCTTTATCTTATGCCTTCTACTTCTTTTACCTCTTAGGATACAAGGGCATATCAAGTTTGTGCGGATGTATGCAACACCGCAGGTCCACAAATATCAACTCTTTTGGATGGCTTAATGGCCATTTCTCCATAATATTCCGGATGCCTAAGTGGCACTTCTATCTTCCTCGTAAAGAAAGTTGTTCTTCATCGCCTGCAGAGGTTATCTTTACAGCGTTAACAACTATGCTCTTAAATTTTTTCTATCGCTCTCGTCATGCTCCAAGAGCCCCAAATCATATTCTGAGGCCATCTATGGGATAACTTTTAATTTGTGTTCGACGTTTTCAAATATTGTGCCTCGATTTATTAAGTCCTAATCCTAGACCATCCTACGATCGTATCGGTATTGGGATCGTTCTCGATCATGCTTCAATATTACGCTTTCTTCAACCTATTGCTTCAATGCACACCGCTTCGGGCGTATTCTTGGCGGCTCGGATTATGCCGGAACGTTAGGGCATTAAATGATCAGAGGTGCATTATAGGCCTTGTCTTGTCCAGAGGGGAAAGTTTGAATGATACTCAGACTTCCGTTTCTGGATCTCCAGTTTTAAGACTAGCCTGGGGGGTTCCGGAAATCGCAATGAGTTTGCAGAACACGTTCGATGAAGGTGTCAAGGCAAGAGTAGACGTTAAACATAGGGACTGTCTATCCCACACTCTATCGATTTCAACAAATATATCGAGTATTTTATCATCATCGCCTCAATATGGGGAAAAAAATAATTTCAAATGCCAAAGAAAATGTTATCATAACAAATTTTGAATAATGATATTATAAATGTTGATGGAAAGTCAAAGGAGAAGTTCACGGTGGTATTTCGGTGGCCTATCCAGTGCCGCAGCAGTAAGCGTAACTCACCCTTTGGACCTAATAAAGGTTCATTTGCAAACTCAGCAACTACCGAAGAAATCTTTATGGCAAACTATAGTAAATATTTATGAAAATGGCGGTATGAAGTCATCGTTTTTGAAATGAAATATACCGTTATACTGAGATCATTTGCTTATATTCAGGTTTATTGGGGTTTTATCAAGGCATTTCCGCTTCGATTGTAAGACAGTTAACATCTACTATGACACGTTTCGGTATCTACGAAACTGGCAAACGCCACATCGATTCAAGCAAAGTATCACATTCAATCGCGTTGGCGATGGGTGCCGGGTTTCTTGGCGGTTTGACAGGTGCTCCAACCGATGTAGTAAATGTTCGCATGCAAAACGATATAAAATTACCGGCAGGCCAGCAGCGAAAGTAAGTGAATTAAGCGAAGGCATTTCGCTTACCGCGAGCCCTTTCAAGCGCGTAGTACTACTGAAATCGAGCGATTAAAGACTTGCGTAGATTCTAACGCACCTTAGCCGAACGAAATGCATAAGCATAAAAATAGATTTTGCAGATCACTTACTCTACGCTCGTAAATGTCTTCATTATATGTAAAGAAATTTTATTCCTATTTTTCTCTTGAGAAAAGTCCATCGTTCGCGTCCTTTGCGCTTTGTCTAAGTTTGTTTGAGTTGATCTTTTTTAATTGTTCTTTAATTAATTTCTTCCAATAGGCTTCTCGTTCAATAACATCTTTCTTCTTATTAACCGTAAATTTCTTTTCAGTTATAAGCACGTTTTTGATGGCTTTTTGCGAATTATACAAGAGGAGGGCGCACGTAAACTTTTGACTGGTGCTCCTGTGGCAATCGGTCGAGGAATGCTTCTTACCATTAGTCAAAATCTTGTCTACGACATTGTAAAGCTACTAACAAGAATTCTTTCCTTTTATAAAAGCTGATGTTTTTCACTTTTGTTAATAATAGAGTAAAGGCTATCTGCTGCGGGAGCTTCATTTCGATGATAATGTTGGCGTCCATTTTACATGCTCGCTAACTTCTGGAGGTTGTGCCACTCTGGCAACTCAACCGTTGGATGTTGTAAAGACACGCTTAATGAATGCTAAAGCTGGCGAATATGACTCATATCTTTCCGTTATTACGCATATTGGAAGAATCGGGCCTTTCGGGTTTTATAAAGGTTTCATACCAGCTTTTGCCCGCATCGGTCCCCATACAGTTTTAACTTTTCTAATGATGGAACAATTGCGATTGCATTTCGGCTGTCCGCCAGTCAATGCCGATTAATCGTTCACTATTACTACTTTCAAATCGATCAATAGGAGCTAAGTAAAAAAATTAAGCTGCATCCAGTAATGGTCACCAACAACCGCTCGATTCATTAAACTTTAAAAACAAAGCTTTTTTTTTTTTAATTGCCACTACAAACGTTTCTTATGCTTCTAAGCAAATGCTGCATAATCAAGAAATTTAGGTTAATCGTAAGAGCCCTGCTTATGAGCACTTGTGTGTTTCATTCGCAAGGTCATTGCGGCCAACATAGGCCTTCGCTTACAACGATCTTAAATTGGCTATAGTCTATACAAAGACCATTTTTTTAAAAATTACACACAATTTTCATAAGGACCTGCATATTGGAGGATCCCCGAAACAGCTCATAACGTGATCCAAATTTTGTTATTTTTCAGTTTCCTTCAAAAAAAAAAAAAAAATAGAAAATAAACTTACCCTCCCTTATAGGTTTTTCATAATAACTCCTTTATTTCTTAGACTCTAGAAAATAGACTTATCCGTGGGAGGTTGAGAAAACGGGTTCAGTCGAACCAACTTTTTCATACCTATGAAGAGTGTCAAGATCCTATTACTCAGCGACTTTTGTCGAGAAATTCTGAAAACAAATTGGAATGTTATTCCTTATAATGACGTTTCAAAGTAAGGTGCAAGAAGAGTGGTCGAAAAAGTGGACCGATTCGAATCATTTTCAATAGCGTTCGTAGTTAAATGAAAGGAAATATCTCAAAAATTCCAAGCTATATGTTGAACATAAAAATACATGGACGAACGGACAGACAATGTGAATAAAAGATGGGTATGCCTTCAGTCTCAAGTGGTATAGCAGAAGGGCATAAATAAACTTCTCCTCATTGCAGTTACAATCGTATTGTCAAGATTGTGGGATATATTACGACTCCTTTAAAGTGGCCGATCCTTTTTAATACTTTGGTAAAACACATTAGAAAATCTCCGAATATCTTCGTCATAGGTTTTCGAGGCGGTGACCAAGGCAGAGAAGAAATGTAAAATATTCAAAAGAATTCAATATTTTGTCTTTATTTATTAATATTTGTGCTTAGAAACAACGCAAAAAGTATATGTAAAGTGTTTTCTTTAATTTTAAGTTTCAATAAAATAACTAAAGATTTCTAAACGAACAAACCACGCAAGTTAGTGTATAAAGTGCAAAAAGAAAAAAAAAAGAAAAATTAAAAATAAATAAACAACTAAAAAACAATAAATTATAAAATATATCTTTCTTAAGTTTTATGATTGATTTAAAAAAAAGAAAAAGTGAGCCTTACGGCTTGACAATGCAACTATTAAGACTACCGAAATTGAGCGAGAGATGGGGGGCGGGGGAGACAATAATAACGAGTCTTGTCTATGAAAGGCGCTACAATTTTTTATTCATTTATGAAAAAGAAAGTGAAACCATTTCTTACTTTCTTCCGTTTGCTAACACACATACACTTACACACACACGCACGCACGCACGCACTTACACTTCCACACACACACACACATGTTGAAGACTTTCAGAAAAGTATTTTGTTCTAAATTATGCAATATTTGAGAGTGTTTGTTGTTGTTGTACATTTAAAAATTTCTATTTCTATTCATACTTGATTTTTTTGTTTTTATCAGTGCGCCTATAATCTGGAACAGTAGATTTTTATAAATGAGTTTGTTGTTTCCCTTCTGCATTTTTTTTTTTTATATATAATTGTGATGCGGAAAAAGGAGAGTAAGGTTTATTCTTTTTATGTGTAACTGTTGGGGGATGGGGGGTGGGGGTGGGAGGAAGAAAATGACTAACTTTTAAGTTTTAAGCAGAGTCCTATGGGTGGGGTCGATAGTGCTACAAAGTAAAAAAGAGAAAAAATATCGTTGGACAAGAAAAATTCATCTAATTTAAACATAATAATAATTGTAATTAATAAATATAAATGTTATTTATGTTATTTATATAAAGGGCAACGAGCAAGAAGAGCAAGAAGGTACCAGACCGTGTTTAAACAATAACATGGAAAGCACGGTTGGGCTTGAATTGACTGTAAAGATTAAATTAAAAGCATACATGAAAACTATTTTCGCCTTAAAGCGAAACTTTGATATCCACCACCTTAAGCGGATTTGTTTTTTTTTTTTTCTCTCTTTTTTAGTAATAATCGTTTCTTCGAATGAAATGAGATGAGATTTCAAAATGATTTCACAAGAAAAAAAACGTTAAAACTCCCACTAGGTGTTCATAAGTTTGCCAAACATTCACAAACTACTTTCAAATAAAAAGAGAAAATTAATAAATAAAAATGGCAGATCAGTTCGCAACATTGAAGTTTCATGTTGTTTTTGGAAAGCTTTCAAGCTGTTTGCAAATCCAAATTTTTGAACTTTTTACAAACTGTGAAAAAATATTTAAAAAGTTCACATGCTGATAAGGAAACTCTTCGTTAAACGTCGAGCTGGGCGGTCGGACGGACCGATCAATTTCGCTGTCCCGTTGCCTTGAACTGAAATTTCACTTTCTGAATGATGCTCAGCAAGATAAATTTCAAATAAATTCTCGGCGGATGGACAGCCGGACTGTTCAACTTGGCTGTCCCGCCGCCTTGAACGGAAATTTCACTTTCGCTGAAGTGGTTTCTTTATGTTTCTACCAGAGGCTAAGGAAAATCAAATTCAAAGCAATTCTCATTTCATTCGAAACTTTACTCAAATGATTGGTTCAAGTTTTAAAGTTAAGTTATCCTCGAGGACTAAACTTTTCTAATAACGTATAAATCAGGCAGTACAGATAAGAGCGTAATGCTCTTGTGATTACAAGACGTCTTTTCTTGCACGATTTGTTTTTTCTTTTTCTGGAAAATATTAATCAATCAATCAATCAATCGTATAGAACAAAAGCTAATTGTTTATAAATATCTATGTATACAAATAAGTTAAGAGTTAAGAGAGTCTCTGTTACGTACTTCCAGATTTCTCAAATCGATTGATGTCTTTGTAAGTGAAGATCCCCTTTGGTGGTGAGTATGTTGAAAATCTGCTTTAATCAGGGCCTAATTCCTAACGAGTATAATCTTTGTTTTGTTTTTTTTTTTTCTGCTTAATTTCTAGTAAATGTATAACAATTTTTTCTTTATCTCAATATCATCTAAATACATATGAAATATTTTTTTTTTCTTTTTTTTTTTTTTTATACCGCAAACTTCTCTTTTCTTAAGCAAGCATTTGTTCATCCTTAGATTATCGTTAATTCAATTATTGGTGATTTTTCTGTCTTTAGATCTAGACATTTAAATGAAGACTTTTTCTTTATCGTTTCTTCTCGTGTTGAAACGAACATGTGAAGCATCATTGGTTAATTGAAGATGAAGAAAAGTTGAAACGTAAAATTGCGCTACGGTCGCCTTTACAACTTTGCTAAACGTTATTTATAAATTTAACTTATTCTTAGGATTCATTATGCATGCACAACACAACTTAGACAAAGAGAAATTTCTCATCGCTTTCTGTTAGTGAAAAATGTGGAAAAAGAAAAAGCATCTCAATTGAGTGCTTTGCGTCAAGTTACATGCAGATGTGTATTCAAATTTCTCTTCTCTAACTAACTTGTGCTGCTACTCTTGTTTCCAATCCATTGCATGTAGAGTTTTTCCAAAATTGCTGATGGGTACTTATAATTACAATTATTAATAATTTTGCCGTTTTTGTTATTGTTTAAATTCGCATTAGTGCAGCACTTGCTTTCTATTTTTATTGGGCGCTCCTTCTAAAAAGCCAACCAGGGATGATGTAAAAGTGATTCCTTAGATCGATCGCCATAATCGTAGCATAATTCTTCACCGGCTTCTATGTCATCTTTTGCTATAAGTACCAGATGAGGAATTTGCTTAACGACAACTACTTTGGTCATTAAATTGCCGTTACGTGAATGATTAACTAAACGTCCCAATTTGCCGGTGTCTTCGGTGGCATCGATACAATACTGCTGGTTTTTATGTTTAAAATAATACATATAGCAGCCGGCGCTCTCGTCCAAAGCATATAGCTTTTCACGTTCAGCGGCCTCGGTCGTGGAAATCAAATCGCCTACATATTCGATAACAAATTCACCACGTTGAAAACGACGTTCAGCAATCACGCCACGTCCTTTTCCCTCAAAGTAGGCTATCTTCAGGCCATCACAACGTTCTTCTAATATGGCCTGTTCTAGATTTCGCATCATCTCTTCCTTAACGGCAGTTTTAGTCTTGCGCACGCTACGACGTACGGGGAAGCATTCAGTTATCTCCCGATTTCCATTATTATAAGCCGTTGATTGAGCACCTTGCTGCCTAAAAGCTGGTTTTTGAACTGTATATTTTATTCGGGTCTGAGTTTTAGTTGGCTTAATTGATTTGCTTGCTGCTTTATTTTTATTATCAACGATTGCGGCATAATTAACCATAGAGCCGACAGGATTTTGTGTATTTCCGCCTGCACATTTAGTGCCGCCGAAGATTGATTTACACGAATTAACGGGTTCACACTTTTCTTCCTCTAGATCATCTAATAAAATGACATCGAGATCTCCATCAATCTCTTCTTTAAGTTCTTGATAATGATGATAAGGTGATGTAGTATAAGGCGCTTCTTCTTTGTGACCATTCAGTCTTCTTCGAGTCTTACTAATTTTATTACTGATGGCAGTTGTACCAGCGTTACCGGTTGCCGTCGTAGTAGTTAAATGTCTTTGAGATTTGCGAGGTGAGAGGCCGGTAACAATTTTGCGTGTGGATGGTGAACTTAAGGGGGATACTAGTCTTTGCCCGACCTTTATAGGTGAAGGACATAAAATACGATGTGGTGTAGCCGGTTTGCGTCGACGACTATTATTGATCGCTGTTAAAGCCGGCGAGTTTTGATTGCTATTTTCATGGGAAGTTGATGAAGAGAAAGTGACAAAAGCCACACCGCTGTCACATGAACTATTGTCATTTTCAGGCAGCATCATTAAGGCATATTCATGACCGCTCCCATACGGCCTATATTTCGAGTCCAATTTTGACGACGTACCGTCTAGCGTAACAATATGATTGAAACAGCCATTTAGAACTGAAGTCGCCAAAGATGTGGGTGAGGCGAATTTTGGTTCGACCTCTAAAGTCTTGTTAATTTTAATGGACGAGGCCTGATTCGGTGATTTGTCTACATTCAAGGTTAAAACTGGTTCTTGAAGAAAAATATTTTCGGTGGCACTCGTATTTGAACTACTATGTGAAGATGAATGACTATCAACTCGCGTTGACGCACGATGATTAGAGAAGTCTAAGGCGGTAGCATAACTGTCTGTACGGAAGGCCATTGTGGGAGGCTCAAGTAATGCAGGCGGTTCATCGGATAAATCCGTTTGTTCACTGTCATTCGTATCCTCGCATAGATCATACAGGCAGTATGAGGTCGCCATTAAATTTTCAAATGAATGGCTACCAAGTTGATGATGCGACGACGACAAAGAAGCCGACAAAGTAGGATGAATATTCAGTTTCGATTCTTGCGTCGAATCAATTGAGTTATTTTGATTGTATTGTTTTTTGGCAGGTCTGAAAAAATTCTCTATAGGACGAGTCTGCGAACGTGTGGCTGAAGAGCCTCCTTCAAGACGAACCATGCAAATGAATTAAGTACAATTTAAGTAAATATATTGATAATCAATTTAAATCTGAGGTTATTCGGAGTACAAACCTATAAATGTATTACTGATTGCGCCACTGCCGCGCTCATTTTTAATTTTATTTGAACTAGAATCCTTCGTTTTACTACGACCACTGACTATACCGTTGCAACTAATGGCATTCTCTTCAATTTTACTATCTTTCCTCTTTGGGCTGGCGAAATTTTGATCTTCTTGCAGCAAATGTGTTGCAGGAGCAATATTATTAACTCCATTGCTATTACCGCTGTTGTTAGTTGCCTGATTGCTCGTCGTTTTAGAAGCCCGACGTCGTACCATTGTGCTTTAGTAGCCTCACTCTTAAGAAATGCGTTAGTCAAACTCAATCACAATCGCGTATGTCTTTTATAATAAAAAAAAACAAAAAAAAAAAAGTAAAAAAACTAGAACAATAGACCAGCTGCTATTAGCAAATTTGCTTACGTACTGATTGACAGTTGCGTGGGATTCCTTCTAATTATTTTTTTTTTTTCTTATGAAGGAAAATGTCATAGGATTTTAATTATGGTATAATTAACATCTTCATAAATGTATCTACACTTGTAGTAAGCTTTCGACTTCTTTTACATTTTTCTAAACATCAACTAACCACAATCATGTTTGCTTTAATACCACTATTTGTAGTGATAACTTTTTTCTAAGTTTGCTTTTTTTCCTTTATGCTTGACCTGTCTCGTTTAACTAATCGACCGCCACTGTGCCGTATTAAAAAAAAAAAAACTTTTCTCTTAATAATTTTTATACATACAGAGGCAATTTTGCAACGCATTCAAGGTAAATATTTACTTAGTAATAATTTTTATCAATATTTCTATAATATTTTGTAATTTGTAAGGATATTTTATTAATTTTCCGCGCCGTTTTTACTTTTCTAAATTATGCTTTTTTCTCTTTTTTCTACAAAATTAATCCGCGTGTGAAGATTACAAACAGGCAAAGACAACCATCTAATCTGCAACCAAACCATCTGCATAAGCAGTTTTTTTCATAAAAACAGAGTTTCAACAGACATTATTTTTTAAAGGAAGCCACAAACACTCATTAAAGGTTTCATGCACAAATAATCTTAACAATTATTCCTCAACTTTTTTAGATTTTTCAATTTTGCAAAATCACAACATAAATTTCTTCTTAATTATATTACCAAACTTTTGATAGTCAAAGCAATCCTGTCATAGCCTCACAGTGTTGTCATAGTAACCAAATAATTGATCTCGATTTAGGGAAAAGTAAAAAATGCTACAAAATAAAACAAACTCGAAAGAGGAGAAAGGGATTAAGCTAATGCAAGAAACTAAGTTAATAAGAAGAACCGTTAGTATTTTATCAGCCTATACATAGTTGAATATTTCTGAAAGAAAACTTAACTGCAGAAAGTAAAAATATCTATTTTTCAGCTTGGTATACCAAATTCTAAAAGGCGAAAATAAAAGCATTTTGCAAAAGTTATTGCCAGACATCGCGTCAAAATACAAAGGCCTTTGTAGTTGTATCTATCGGCGTTCATTTTCTAAATACTTCAAAGCAGAAAATAATTGCAAATGAATTTGAGCAGCAAAAAAGTTCCATTTCTTGAGTGGATACATTGCAATAGCTGTTATGATCTGTATGTGAATAAAACACGCATATTTTACTTAGTAGCCGGCTGTTTTCATGTCCTTTGCGCTAAATGTATACGTGAAGTAAAACCAGCGGGCTCGAATGGACCGTCGCATTATAAATGTGCAGTTTGCAATAAAGCTGCTCGCGCTTGTGAAATAAACAATAATATGCCTACAAATCTGAAGAATTTATTTCACCCATTTCCCAATGAAGATGACATGAATCTATTTGCAATTGTGCAATTTCAGCAAAGGCATCAGCAACGTTTTAGGAATTACCTTGATAGAATGAATCGTTCTTTAAAAGAGAACAAGGCGGTTTTATTAAAACGCCGGGACGCAGCTAAGACTACATATCAAGAGTTGCGTGAAACAAGAGCTGAACGCAAACAATTGGAGCGACGACTATTAATGGTGAAAAAAAGATATCGTGAAATGGAAGAAAAAAAATTAAATCAATCAATTTCACACAATGCTAATGAATCAAGTAAACTTTCAGTTCATACTAATGATCCAAGGTTAAACAGACCTGCTTTACTTAATCCTGCTGCCGAACAGATATCAATAAATTTATCAGGACTTAAAGGGCCTCGTATGCCCCCACCAGCTTTATTTAAGCCCAATGTTCAAAATAACTCGACCGCTATTGCTAGCTTTATGCAGCAAAGCGAATCATTTGTCTTGTAAGGATTTGCAAACGGGGAGCTATCATTTTCAATTGTAATGCTTACAAAATGATTACCAATTTCTACTAAATCTCGAAAAACTTTATTTAATAATTCCGTAAAATACGATCTTTTTTTGAATGAAAGATTTGAAATGATTTTCGTGTATTTTTACGTGTTTTACTCAGCCAAGCTAATCTTGTTTTTTTGTGCGTAATACTTATAAACTTAGTAGCTCCTATCGTGCAAGCACCTCACTTAATAAATATGATAAAAAGTATTCTGCAGAATGCAATTTTTTTTTGTATATAGATACATACAAGTGATGTGCGTATACTGCATAAAGTTTGAAAATGTATTTTTTTTCGTACCTTTTTTTTTTTTCTTCAATAAGAGTTAGAATTAATTTAATAAACATAAATATATACAAATTATATCAGATTCAAGATTCCTTTTTTCAATAAAAATTAAATGTATGAACAAGTTTCCAAATTATGAAAAATTATAATTTAATAATTAATAGAAAATAAATCTCTCTTCCCTAATGGGAAAAGAAGAATAAAGAGAAAGCTTTATTTGATTTGGACTGCAAACGCTTGCCTTTTATTGAGGGATCAGAAATATTACAAAAAGGTATTCAATGTTATATGCAATTTTTCAATTACGAATAAGCAAGATCTATAAAACGTATTGGATAGTACTTTTTTTATTTGATGATAAAGTTGTTGTCGTATTTTAGTATAATGAATAAAGTGGTTGTAAATTTAAATTGAAACCAATCTTTTCTCCGCAATCATGTGTAGAAGTCCTTTATTTTTGAATGTCAATCAGGCGAAATGTATCCATGGTGATTCCCTTTCTAGCAACAAAAGACAAACCTCTGCAGATTTTGCTGCATAGGGCACAAAATCTCTTCTTAGATACCTATTTGATTTTTACACAAATATTTTTTTAATGATTCGAGTAAAGAAATTGTCTTATATACGTGCATCAAATATTAAAAAGGTAAGTAATTAGAGCATAAAGATTACTAAGAAACTTGAACTTAAATTTTTTTTAGTACTCCCCTTAGATTAAGTTCGAATGACAGTCTATAATTAGAAAAGAACTGGATAATTTTTCTCTCTGCTTAAATTATGGCCTGAGAATTGTATGGTTTTTGTGCAAATGTGTTTGAAAAAATTTAGCGCGAGTTGAACGTACATTAAACATAACTGTTAAGACATGTTTTCTCGTAGGGCATTTAGTTTACGTAATTATGGTTGCCAAGTATTCATTTTTAAAAGGCTGAGAAATACATACGTTTTCTTCTACATATTTAAAATGTGGCTTTCCATGAATTTAGTCATGTTAGTTGCTCTGAAGAATTAGATGTAATAGTGTAATCCATATTTGACAAAATTTGTTCTCATGATTGGTTTTGCATTTATTTGTAATCATATATTTTTTCAAAATTGACAGTTGATCTTGGAAGAACGCCGAAATAGACCATGTGGTATGCATTGGTTCTCGGCTAGAGAAACGAAGTCATGATTTGATTTTCATATTGGGATACGACTCTGTGTCTCCGAATTATAAACTGGCGATGGCAGTTCTTCTATTAAATGGTAAACTCCAATGAGACGTTAGCGTTAAGTATGAAAATCTGTATTGTTATCTCTTTTCTTTGATTATGTTTTGTTTATTCCATTTCAATGTTTTGTAACGGTTTTGCTGGCATTGTTATTGTAAAACTTCGTCTGCTCTGAGAGAAGATTTCTGTGATTACACACACACAGATTTTGCTGACATTGTTATTGGAATATTTTGGTTTACTTGTTTTACTCTGAAAATGAGAGAAAGAATTAAAGAGAGATCCACTTTTCAACAATTGCTAACAGGAATATAAATCTAAACATTTGAACATTTTTTCTCAGTCGCTTTTTTCTCTTCAAAGAGAGAGGAATTATAATTAAAAACAGTTAGGCATAGTTCGCACGCATAGCGGCAAATAATAAAATGAAAAATTAAATGCACGGTAACAACAAAATATAAAATATTTCTTAGTGTTATTGTAAAAACGTCTTTTTGTTAATGTGAAAAAGATAAATAAAAATAAAGTTATTGAAAAAAGAAATATTGAAATGCTTTAATTTCGTAAAGAAATGTGTGGAAATATTAAAAAAAGTTAAATTTATTTTTCAAATATTATGAGGCAAAAAATGTAAAAATTATAAAAATAAAAAAAAAAAAATGAGTAATTATTGTAAAAGTGTGTTGACTGTATTTGTGCCTGCGTGTGTGTTATGTGTGTGTAAATATTGGTAAAACAGGTTTAGAAGACTTCGTACACAGAACAACGAACGAAGTTAAGCGAGTTATAGGTTATCGGTATGGAGTTCAGCGTAAGAGAGTGGAAGGGTGTGAATAGTAAGTGTCAGTGAGCGGGCGGGTGAAAAAAGAATAAGAGGCCGTAATAATAACAAAAACAAAAGCAATAACGAATAGGTAATAGAAAAAAATCAAGTAATCAAGTTAGTAAGAATAAAGGTGAGTTTACAACTTATACTAATTATTATTTTTATTTAATTTTTTTCTTTATTTTTTTTTTTGTTCCTATAACACTACTATTTCATATTTACGTATGTTTATATATATATATATATGTAAATATATATATGTGAGTATGTAACGTTAATTCTTCACTATTCAAACTTAAAGCTGTTGAAGTGTTTTATTAATATAAAACGTTTTTTCTTTATGTGGGTTGTGAATTGGTAGTAAAGCAAGTTTAACTGGGGGCCAAACGTTAAAACTAAAGGTCGGCAACAAGCAGTTTGACAACCAGCAAACCAAGCAAGCTAACAATTAGCCCCGACATGAATGTTTGTTTATACTTATGCACATGTATATGTATATACGGCTTTTGCCTCGTGCATGCAAATTCTTTGAAGGTTTGCTTTTTTTTTTTACGGTCTTATTCTGTTATTCATGCGAAGGGTTTTCCATTCTGTTGATGTTCACAAATCCAATTAGCAAGAAATTGAATTTCACGCAAATTTCCAATTGAGAAAAAGGAAAAAAAAAAAAAAGAAGCAACAACAACAGTCGCAGCGGCAGCGTTCTTGTAATCGAGTTTCGCGCAATTTAATTACAACAATATAGCAACAACAAAAACTATACTACTACTTACCATGATATCAAATTCAGAAGTGCAAGCGATAAAAAAACCAGTGAAGTAGCGAAAGATAAAATGAAAACATAAAAACTATACAACAACTATAAAGAACTAACTGAAGCATAACATAACATGAGACGTGAGTAGAGCTCCCTACCATAACAAAAAAATAATAACATTACATCTGAACAAAATGGTTGAAGTGTGTTTTAGTTTTTCTTCTTCTTTTTTTTGTTGTAATAAGTGATCGTTTATGTTAAGAGACAAATTATTTATATATTGCATTTATTTATTTATTATTATTTATTTATAGATCAATATAATTATTATATTATTTGCACGCATATATAAAACGACCATTTCTCATGTACATTATATTAATAAAAGTAGTAGAGTGACTCGATATTATTTCGGCTTTCCGATTCCGATACTACTAACAAGTTTGGTCTGTCTTTTTTAACCTTATACAAGTTTGTCTGGCGGATTAGGCTAAGCAGATTGTCAACTTTTTTCGATCTTTTAGATGCAGAGCTATTTTGCATATTTCGTATTGAATAAATGTAATCGCGTGGGATGACCTTTTATTTATTTTTTTTTTCGAGCACCAAATTTACAAATTTTTAAAAAAATGAGCGACATAACGTTCTTCTTGCTTGCTACCTCTCAAATGATTGTAGGATTCTCTTAAGCGGTATTAAAAGCACCTTACAGGGATTTATGCTTTACTTTCTCCTTAAGACATCATATCTACTCATTTTTTTGAAATTTCGACATTCACTGTTCGCTTCCTTCTACTTGTTGCGACGAGTTTTCCTTCAGAAACTGGGTTATTTTATTTTAGGACAACAGGACAGACTAACTAATAATACCTTTAGCTCGCCTATTTCCTGAATAGTTTTGCGCAATTTAAATACTAGTAGACGATATTCGCAGAAACTGAAGCTTTTCAAAGCAAACAACTGCCTCCTTTGTCCGCCGAGAGGAGTTGCTGTTCAGAAGAAATCAGCTTTTAAATCGGCCAACTTTTTCGGTGTAACTTTTAAATCCTTGACGAGCTATTATTTTTAGTTATCATAACTCGGGAAAAAGAAATAGAAACTTGTAAAAGGAAAGAAGCGCGAGCAATGTGGGTCTACAAAAACGAAAATTCACGTTTGTCGATCTTACCTGAAGTAATAAAATTTCGCAAATCAAGTTTGCCTTTTCTTAATCAAAACTTTGCTCAAAGTCACCATTTTTAGTCTGCTTGATAGAGACGATGGTGTTTTTGTAGTCTGTTGTCGGACGATTTGCAAAAAATAGCTTTGTTTGTTAATATAAAGCGAGATCTTCGTTCGATTTGTCAAGACATGTAAGCGTTCTTATGTTTCACTATAACTATCCACGATTGCTATGAACATGATGCCATTTTACGGCAATTTATCCTGATCAAAGTCGCTATATTTCAAGCCTTCAAGGTTAACAACACAAATTGCCGCAGGTTGCCTCTGTATGCAATAATGGTCGAAGATGTACGCGTGGCATAGTGTGAGAGAAAATTCCGAAATACACATAAAACTAAAATTAAGTGCGGATTGATGTCTGTAGCCGATTTATGGTGATTAAGCCATTGTGCATGGCTTTCGTTTTATCAAGTCAACCGTGAGCGTAGTTTGCTGGCAATGAATGTATCAAGCATTCCCAGCTTCTGTTGCCATATTGTTAGCACATATTGCCCTACAGCATAAGAGAGAGATTCAAGTATTTCAGATCGTCTTTAGCTTCCACAGATATTTAGCAATACATGATCTTATAGTGGTAAAAACGTTCGATCTTGAATACGTATACATAATGGATTTAAACTGCGATTCGTGATGTGAATGGATGCCGCAATATCGTGCAGATCGTCACGCAGCCGAGAACTTCCAAACAAGATTTGGAAACTGTTTTCCATACATAAAAATTATCGTCTAATTTTGACCATACCTTGAAGGCGCGACTAGGCTTTGCCAGCTGACCATATTCTTTACACATGAGTGCTTACTTGGAGAGACTACCCCCCATTCCATTCCTTTGTCACCTTTCCGTTTTAATTCGGAAAATAAATGCAAGCAACCACGGCATTGTAGAGGGTTTAATATTGCTACGTACCTGTTTTTCGGCAGCGATGGCAACGTAGTGGTAACAAATAAATTCATTCAAGGTTCAACATATCTACAAATGCATAAATACGAACGACATTAGACACCAGCCGACCTACTGGGAAAGCGGGTGGCAGGTGTGGGAAGACTCAGAGGTAATAAAAAGGAGAAGTAGAAATACACCCATGTATATATGTATAGTTAGCAAACATTTGACAATTATTTGTGCATATATCTGGGTGCGAGTGCGTTGTATGTGTTATTCTGCGTCAACTTACCACGAAATTTGTGAATCTTGAGAAATGAAAACCGGAGCTTTTTTTATTCTTCTGTTTTATTAATTTTTTGTTGTTGTTGTTGCTTTATTTGTATTTTTTGTCTTGCTAAGATTTAATTTCATTTAAACAAGACAACGTATGTCATGAAATTAGATGAATGAATATGTCTTGGGTATGACTCAAGATGAAGGTAAACTGCTCAGCCAGTTATATATATATGTATATAATAATGAAACATATATTGAAAAGATTAAAATAATAAATGAAAACAAATGCGGTCGTTTGTTGTTGTTTAGTTGTTGTTTAGTTGTTGTGTTGTGTTGTGTTGTGTTGTGCTGTCTTTGCTGTAGCTGTGGCTACTGAAACTGAAACCGGTATCATTTGCTAAGCAAATTAAACTCACGACGAATTATGTCGGAGCCTAACCAAGACATGTTCATGAGGTTGATGAGCGTACAAAATTAAGAATAATTGCTTTCTGTTAGGTAAACTAACGCGTTGTCTTAGATGCTGTTACTAGACACAAGTATTCATATTGCGATATATTTTGTAATCTATAGTTACTTTACGTTGTTCTCTTAGGTGAAGACTTTAAAAGTTTTCATTTCCCTATAGATTTATGTGTATGTATATAACGTATACCACAGTTAATAAATGCGGTTTTTTTTTTTTTTTTTGTTTTCTAAAGAGAAAATCTGAAACTGGATTAAACGGTGATTCGCGTCTGGCGGTGTTAGCGAAAAACGTTAATCTTAAACTTTGCTTGTTATATTATTTGATTAATTGCTGTAACTGCGTTGAGGAATCTTTTTAAATTAATCAGAGTATGTGCGTAGAAAATGAGTAACAACGAATTTACATTAAAATTTAACGGCCGGTTAGAGAACAATTTTCAATACAGTTCAAATCGCATTCATACAGTATAATTTCGCATTCATTTATCTTCGTCGTAAAGTACCAAAAGTTATATGTTTTAAGTTGTTACGTTGTTGCAGCAGTAAGGTTTATTTATTATTGTAAGAACTTTGCTTTGAGCCTGGTTTGAAAATTAAGTCGTGAAGTCAAGTGTTGTCAAAAAATATATTATGCTTTACTTCTATTAATCACAAAATATTAGAAATAGTTATAGTGAGTGCTCAGTCAGGCTAATCTAATGATTCTGGATCGAAATTGTAGATGGATGGACGTACATTAACAAACGCGATATCGTGAATAGTTTAAGCGGAAAATGACATTTTTATTATGCTTTCGACTTAAGAAAGATTTGTGTGCGATCGATTTGTTTTTTTTTTTTTCATAAGCGTGTTTGCGTTGTGCGAGAGTAAGATGGATCAACATATGAATGAACTGAGAGATGAAAGGACAAGTAGTTGAATGGGCGAATAAACGGATAAAACGAATAAAAATCAGTTAAGAATGCCGGGTTTCACCTTTTCATCTCAATTCTTTCCAAAAGACCAAAGACCCAATTGCGTTGACTGACGACGTGTTGACTTCTCGGATTAATGTTTCTTTGTCAAGTATATTTCCAGTTCTAGATGATAAAAAATGCATAAGGAAACACATTGCTTCCTTAAGTAAATAAGACACTGGTCGAAAGTTTCACCGGAGCCCTGCTCGATAAAAAAAAAGTCTTTCATAAATTAGCAAAACTTGCATAGAAATTATTTTTCTCATAGGCCGTAGGGTGCTCTTTATCATCAATGTGTTATGAAAGGACAAGAAAACAATTAGTCCAGGTAGGGACGTCGACATCGGTCAGCTCAGCTATGCACGTGCATAAACTTGATGTCAAGCTATGCTTTAAAAAAGCATTGCATAACATATTCTTTTTTTTTTTTTTTTTTTTTTATTTTTTTTTTTTTTTAAAATTTTTTTTTGTTAAATTTCATTGTTTGAAATTATAATTTGTTTTTATCATTAGCTTTATTTTTTGCAAATTCTACCTCTCAAACTATTAGTGGAGTTTTTCTT